CATACATTGCATCCAACACAAGGGTATAAAGTGCTAATTCAGGTAATGGCAAGTAGTACGAACCCATGGTTCCTCTGGTTCCCTTTTTTGTGGCTACACCTGTTATCTGACACAAACATCAATTTTTGGAAGTCATTTTTAGTTTTGATGTGTATCAGAACAATTCCAGACCTTGAGCCATAAATCTTCCACAGCAAACAGGACAACTGGGGATTCAGGTATGATGCACTATGACTCTGTTCTATTTCCTTAAACTCTTGACACTTTCAGTCCCTTGGCCAGTGTGTCCCATTTGTCCCAAGGTTTTAAAGTAATTATCTGTGGCAGCTTTTCCATCTACACAATTGGTCTTCAGTCACAGTAATATATGTGGAAAGGACATATTTGGCTGCTTCATCCTCACATTGTGCCACAAGGGTTAAAGAAAAGGAACAAGAGAATGAAGCTGCTTGTGACAAGCGGTGCAGTGCTGTCCACTGGAAATGTATTTATTTTTACCTGTCTTTTCATGCAGTGAAAGCTCCCTGGGTAGTTATTTCTCTGTAGACAGTAGGAAGAAAGTCAGATCCCGATGGGCAATGAAGCAGATACCTTTACGCACTGCATGGCTCTGAGACTTTTATTGTTAATCCCACAAAGCCTGTTTGGATTCAGCAAACAGGGCTGGGTTGGTAAGTGGTATTTTGCATGATTTGGTTGAGTCTATAAGCACTGACAGCATGAGGTGCTATGGAACATAGGTGACATTGACAGATAAATGAAACTTCTTCCTGTTTCCTATTTTTAATTTCTGAACATGAAACAGCTTGGGTTGATCTATAAACATCTATTTGCTTTCACATACAGAATCCAAACAAGGGGAAAGGATTTCATTTGGCAGTCCTTGCTGGTAAGTTGTTGCTGTATTTCCACTTATTTTTTGAGAGGAAAATGTTTAATTATTTGCACTCGAGAGAGTTTTAAAGAATAAATAAACAGAAAGATTGCATTAACCGGTCCCTTCAGTGGTCAAGAGATGACAAATATGCTTAATACGCAACCCAACAGCTATAGGGCAAATCGAATAAAATGTTTTGCTTAAGTAAAGGGCATACCAGGAAAGAAAATAGTGGTGGCATTTATAAATTTCAGGCTTACCTATGAATATATAAATTCCAATCATCTTCAAGACATGGTATAGTAGTTACAATGCAGAAATGATAAATTCCATTAATCATAGCATCCTGTGACCATCTATAGTCATTTCTATAGCTTGAGCAGGAATGGGTTAAGGAACAGTAGTCTAGGTCCCATCATTCCTCACCATTGCCTATGCTGCTGAGGACACATGGCAACTTCACTCCAACAACAGAATGAGGCATGTGACCCACACATTCCTCATTCCAGATTAGAGTATGCAAACCGATTCAGTGAAACAAGTTAGGAAACATAGTAATATGTTTAACATTGGAGTAGGACTCCAAGAGACAAGGGTGCAAACCCATTCAACTATAAAAATCAATTGGGTGATGTTAGGCAAGTCTCTCTCTTCTCTCTCTCAGCTCTATTTCAGGACATAACAACAGTAGTGAAGCAGCTTGAAAGACATTGACACTGACTGGATGACCCTGAATGGTCCAAGATAAAATAATAGGTCTTCATGACAACACAGATGTCATGTATGTATAATATGCCATTTTAAATTCCCATCTATCAAGTGCCAAGATTATGGATTGCAATTCCATAATCTGTAATCAGAGGCCATGCTATCTGAGAGAGATGTGGTTAGTAAACCAAACCATTTACATGAGACCCTTCCCTTTTGTGGGGGTTGGGGAACACAGAAAATGGGGGGGGGGGAGAGAAATCCATGTAATTACCTCCCTAAGAATCTCTAGATTCTCCAGCACAAGACTGGAAGTGGACCACATATTTGCACTGGAAGACCTACAAATGCCTACAGTGTTTTGTCTAGGAATGTCTAGGTCCTCCAGTGAAAGGTAACCATAAAATTGTGCTGGAGGACCTAGACATTCCTAGAGAGAGCATATTAATCAAACCCGCAAATTGGGAGAGTTGACTACAGTCAGAAAGGAAGGGCTACAGCAAGAACATATTCATGGTAGCCATCCATGATCTTGACAAAAGTCTTCCTCCGTCTGGATTTGTTTTTCCCAGTCAAGCTTCATGCTCCAAAATCGGACTTGATGTAGCCTTGTTTACAATGACCTGACCTGACACAACCTTACTGGATAAGACTTTAATCTGACCTGTCATGACTCTAAATAAATCAAGCTGCTTCTCTTTTTTCCTATGGGTTCCAAGCACAAGCAAATTGGGATAGTAAAATATTTTACTATTAGGAAGTATTGGCCACCACTACAAGTAAAACAGAGGGTGATGTGAATCCTTTCCCTGTAGTTTCCTGTAACAACTAGAGGCAAAGGGATGTCATATTCAGCATTGTGCAAATGTGGTTACTCACACTGCAGTGGTTCCCAACCTTTGGTCCTCCAAGTGTTTTGGACTTCAACTCCCAAAAATCCCAGCCAGCTTACCAACTGTTAGGAATTGTGGGAGCTGAAGTCCAAAACACCTGGAGGACCAAAGGTTGGGAACTACTGCATGATCAGTGGAGGGAAGGTGCTAAAGGAGCCCAGAGCTGAGAAAAAATATGTTTTTGGACCACAGCTTCCTGAACCCTCCGGCGCAATCCAAAAAATAATTTCCCAATGTTAGATATGAGCAAGATCACAAAGGAATTGCTTTTGTTTCTTACAATGGTGAAAAAAATGTATTCTGCTTTTGTGTCTCAAGTAACAAACGAAGTCTTTACCTGCATTAAACCTCTCTCCACTACCATCTTAAAATAAACTAAATGGTGAAGGAGGTATGGTTATTTGAGGAACTTCGGAAGGCCAGACTGGGACACAATAGCAGAGTCAAATCCAGGAGTTGAGGTTATCCATATTGGCTATTCTGGTAGCAAACTCTGATACTTAAGACCCCAGCCTTCTCCAGACAACACTCAATAGTGATTGCCAAGAATGGCAGCACACACAATTGCATGATGAGATAGCGGTTACTCTCCATCATGTTATAGGATCTATTCTGTCCCATTGTGATTCACCAGAGCCATCTTGAGTGAGACCAGACTTAGAAGCGGCTTGATTTATTTACATTCTTAGACAATGTGAGCTGATCAAAAATAGGAAAAAGCTAGAACAGAAACCTATTTTCTTGATGTATTTTCACTTTCATAATGATACATTATGGACAAAATGGGATGGGGGAGTGAGAGAAAGAAAGAGGAGGGGAGGGGAGGGAGGAAGAAATACCACACGCAAGCATCCTCAGCTGTAAATGAGAACTCCTGCTGAAATAGGTTATGGTAATTTTTTTTCTTGTTTAAACCTGTAATATAAAAATCAATACATACAAAAAGAAATCTAGCAGCAACAACAAAGGAAAGCATTGGCAGCTTCGTGGCAGCTTGCTTGGCACAACGAGGAGCTGCATTAACATTTATGAGCATTATGAATGGAAGTATTGCAGAGCCAACAGTGCTAGGGCTCAGTGGAGGGAAGGTGCTCAAGGAGCCCAGAGCTGAGAAAAGTTATGTTTTTGGACCACAGTTTCTTGAACCCTCCGGCGCAATCCAAAAAATAATTTCCCAATGTTAGATATGAGCGAGATCACAAAGGAATTGTTTTTGTTTCTTACAATGCTGAAAAATATATATCCTGCTTTTGTGTCTTAGGTGATGCATAATCAACAAAGTCTTTACCTGCATTAAACCTCCCTCCACCACTATCTTACACTTTAACATTTCAAGAAAGATGCAGCTCTGTGTCTCTCTGCCATCATATTTCTTTCCCTAACATGATTTTTTTACATCAATTCCTGAGGAAGAAGCCTTCAAGCTATGAAAGCTTGCATTATGCATTTCTAGCCTCTTGCTTGTCCTAATAAAAATAATCATTGCAATCGGATTACTTATTTACCATTCAACAATTGATTTAGTGGGTTACCTCTAGCTAGGTCTAATAAATAGGATTTTGACCTTGAACTGTCCTTGGCTGGTCAACAGAGCATCACCTGTCTGATACATATGGATTCTGGCTCAAGTCCTTGGCTTTAGCTCTGACCCAAAGGACTCTGTACATGCTTCTGGATTCAGAAAAAAACACTGCTTGACCAGAATGTAGGAATAACTCATTACAATAAGATGTAACAGTAATTCTATCGATTAGTTTTACAATGACAAACTCATTATAACTAATAATGCAATTGCCTCAGAAGGGAATTCTGCTCCTTGTGCCAAGCAACTATAGTAGTTTAGTTACTTTCATAACTACATGTTGCATGTAACCTAGCTACTTAGCCATATTTGGACCACGTATCAGTGGCTTTAAATTTTCTAGTTCAGTTACTTCTTTAAAAGTAACTTGTTAGCCATTGCATTACTTTCAGAATAAGAAAGTAAAGAATTACTTTTACAATTATAACTATAAAGGAACCCTTGGAGATATAGCTAACTACAGTAGAGTCTTGCTCACCCAATGTTCTGTATTATCCAACACAGTCTGGCTCCCCCCCGGATCCACAGCTGTTGTGATGTTTTGGTGCTAAATTTGTAAAGATGGTAATTACTATATAACGTTATCATGTATTGACCTGCTTTTTCTCTCAATTTGTTGTAAAACATGATGTTTTGGTGCTTAATTTGTAAAATCATAATGTAATTTGACATTTAATAGGCTTTTCCTTAATCCTTTCTTATTATCCAATATTTTTGCTTATCCAACGTTCTGCCGGTCCATTTATGTTGGATAAGCGAGACTCTACTATATTGTGTTACCTTTTAGGAATAACATTGCTATCTCTGTTCTTGACTTAATCTTAACTTCAACCTGGTCTGCCAAAAACATTTTACCCATGGAACAAACTGCTGGCAAATATTTGTCTTTTTGGCTGCAAACCAAATGGATTTTAAGACAGAAGCCGGTGGTCCTACCTACCTTTTCTTCTTGATAGATGATGACCAATTGTTGTTCCACATTTCTTTGCATTTTGAGACTTGCTCAGACTTCTGAGTCCCCGTTTGATTAGAAGGTGTTCTGTTTACATAAAAAGGAAAATCCGTCTTTGAAAGAATAAAAAATGGTCTTGGCAACAGCACAATGAATTGCTGTGAAGCAAAGATAAGCAGCAGCAAGCATTTGGGGAGGGAAAGAAATGCGCCTGAAATCTGTTTCACTTTCATTCTGCAGTTTCAATCTGGAGAAGGACTGCTTTGAGTTACCATCAGAAACATATTCCATTTTTAAAAAATTGGTTCTGCTTATATCACTCTGTGCACTGTGTTGATTCTGATGTAAATCAGAAATGTAATTTTTAAAAGAATAACTGGAACTCACTATAGCATTGACACAATTACATTTCGGAGATGTACTGGAATATATTAACAATAAATATTAATGGCTTTTCCAAAGCTTCTCTCAAGCATGAATGTGAATTTCAGATAATACCATTGTAGTTTATTTATTGCATTTATATCTTGTCTTTCTTCCAGGCGGGAACACAAAGCAGCCGATACGGGTGGCCTCCCATCTGCACAATGATTAGACTTGAACCTATGCAGCATCTTCAAATTCACTGAACTATACCATGTGTTTTATACCCATGTTCTGGGTCTTTCGAGATTAGATTCACATTTCAAAATGGCAGGAATATGCTCCAGGCACAACATTCTATTCATTCCACTTTCATCAAAGTCCCAAACTATAGCTCAATCTATTCAGTTGCAACTGATCGCTCTAATGTCAGTGCAGAATAAATCCACTCTGGGGTTTAACCTGAATTTTAAGGGAACTATCCAAAGGCTAAGCTGACTTTTGCCAATAAGGTTGAGTACCATGGATGGCTGGTTCAGAATTCAGACTAAAATGTGAAGTGAATTCAACATCCCATTGTCAATGAACTTGCCAGCTGTCACAGCATTCAGTCATTTACAAAGCACATTAAATCAACTCATAAAGATAGGACCTATAGCTCTCATCTATGTGCAATGTTATGACTCTGGGAGTTTCCCTTGAATGTGGACACTTCTTACATGATTGGGAACCTTGCTTTTGTTAGGCTTCTCAATAGGGGAAACTTTACTGCTTGGCTATATTGTGTTGGAAACAGCAACTTTCGCAAGCCTCCACTAGTTTTTGTTGTTATTACTACTATTATGTATAATTTATCACTATATTGTATGTGTATGTTATAGTGTATGCTAGTTTGCAGTTTTCTTTAACCTCTTTGTTGTGGGAGGGGCTGCAGACTATGTCATCAGAACTGGGCATGTTCAGGACTCAGACTCCATTTTAGATCTCAGATGCCTTTAGACTACAGTAGAAACAGAAATATGCTTTAGACTTCAATAGGAACTATATGCTTACAGACTAGACAGAGACTCTGTTAGACTCTCAGAACAGAGAGATGCTTTGGACTATGAACTACTGATTCTAAGAAAGATGCCCTATGTTACCTACACAGAGAAACTACTTCAAGTCAATTTGTAACTGGATTGATATACAAAGTACCTGTACACTGAATACGTGAAGTCTGAGTAAACCAACTATGTTACTTTCAAAGAAGTCTGCATATTTTTGTCTCTTGAGAGCATGATTTAAAGACAAATATATTTTAAGGGAGAGTAGATGTTTTTGGGCAACTAAAAGGAACACTTCTGAAACTCTGCTGTGAATGTGTGTATGCTGGTGAATGACATTTCCCACAAAAAATGTTATGACTCTAACAGGTCATGTGTTTACCAAGAGGTTATACCAACGTTTTTATAAGGTTATGACTTCTAACAAGGTCATGCCTTTCCAAAGATCATAAGACCTCCAAAAGGTTCTGGAGACTTTCATTTTCCAAAATATTGTTCCCCACTACAATTTTCACCATCCTGTTGACTTCCACATACTTTAGACTTTGGGTCATCCTCAAGTAGCATGACCATTAACTAGAAGCTACAGCCCGACACCCTTAGAAGACACCAGATTGAGAAATACTGGCCCACATAATATACTTGAGAATGCAATTTGAGAATGCAGTTTAACTGCATGGAACTAGATTATATGAGTCTACACTGCCATATTACCCAGTTCAATGCAGCTAAACCAGTCTAATTTTCAAACTGCATTACATGGCACCGTAGATGGGGCCTTCCTCTAACCTAGAGGGGGTTTGAGGTTTTAAAGGTGGCAAGTAGAACATTTCCAAAGTATTGCATCCAATTATGTTTCTAGGAAGAGAAACAGGAATCGTGGGCCTCTACCATGTTTCTCTTGTCAGAAGCTACTTCATTCCACATCAAGCTAGGTGGTCCTCCAACTGTTCGCTTTTTTCCCATTAGAAATCAATGACAGACATACAATATATTGGAGATAATAAAATGACATGCTAAAAAATAATCACGGGAATGTTCAGAACTGGCTTTTAGATGGACATTAGATCGTTTAAGTCCAACAGCAAGTAGTGCTTGAATTGTAGCTTTATTAAATAGCATTACGAGAACAGTACAAGCAGCCAGAATCAATATGCCAGAATGCAATTGCTTATGAATGAATGGTGCATATTTACAGCTACTCCGACATGAGGTTGTGCTGGAGCTGCAAAAATGTTATGCTGTCACCAAAACCTGGTACATCAGCTCAAATATTTGGGAAGAGAGAGCACAGCAGAAAACAGAGCTAAAGTAAAGCAACTCCAACCATCATAGCCACAGGCATTATTATGTCCGAATAACAGTGGCAAGCTTTAAATTAAGTCAATGATTATTTATAGCTGAAAAACAAATAGCCTTGAGTCAGACAGCTCAATTCTGTTCTAGTCTCAGGCGAGATTAGTGATATGTTTTCCCCCTTCTTGTTTTATTTTCCCTTTTTGATCCTGGAGTCATTTATGCACTTGCATATTTGGGAAACATGTCACGAACAAACAAATATTGCATGAATCTTGCTATAACCTTTTCTGGATATATCAGGGTACCAGTGACTTTTATCTTTAGGGGGAAAAATAGCGACATACATAGGACCAGGTCATGTGTGACTATAACCTTTTTTGCATGTTAACTCTTCCTGGGAGTTAATCCCAACAATTTCAGAATTCTGGAATTTCTCAAGTGATTCCAGTATTATCACACTGATTATCAATGCAAACAAAAAAAACCTCAAGTCCATATACATACAACTGAAATCTCTTTAATCAAAGCAGCCCCTGAGAAGTTTGCTACCTGACAGAAAAGACAAGGTGGCACCTTCTCCAAAGTTTGGGTACAGGAGCTTCTAAGACTGGTAGTTGACTTTTAGTTCAACACAAAGGATTGGCCAGCATTCTCAACCTGACTCAAGAGCAGGAGTCCAACTTAAAGGATTATGGGGAAGGACTGGTGTCAGACAGAGGAGCTCTATTTTCCAACACTTGGCCATTTCCACATACCTCAACAAGGGCTTCTGTAGGAACATGCCTTGACCAACCTTTGGCATCTATGCCTGTTCCTGTCTCCTGTATTATACTACATTCTCTCGCCTTTAGAATCACAGAATCACAGAGTTGGAAGAAACCTCGTGGGCCATCGAGTCCAACCCCATTCTGCCAAGAAGCAGGAAAATCGCATTCAAAGTGATTAAACAGAGACAGATGGCTACCCAGTTTCTATTTAAAAGCCTCCACCACACCGGGACAGAGAGTTCCACTGTTGAACAGCTGTCACAGTTAAGAAGTTCTTACTAATGTTCAGGCGGAATCTCCTTTCCTGTAGTTTGAAGCCATTGTTCCGCACCCTAGTCTCCGGGGCAGCAGAAAACAAACTTGCTCCCTCCTCCCAATGACTTTCCTTCACATATTTATACATGGCTATCATGTCTCCTCTCAGCCTTTTTTTCTGAAGGCTAAACATGCCCAGCTCTTTAAGCCTCTCTTCATAGAGCTTGTTCTCCAGACCCTTGATCATTTTGGTTGCCCTTCTCTGGGCTCATTCCAGCTTATCAACATCTGCCTTAAACTTTGGTGCCCATAGTTGGACATAGTATTCCAGGTGTAGTCTGAACAAGGCAGAACAGAGGGATAGCATGACTATACTCCTATTTATGCAGGCCAAAATCCCATTGGCTTTTTTTAGCTGCCGCATTACATTGTTGGCTCATGTTTAACTTGTTGTCCACGAGGACTCCAAGATCTTTTTCACATGTACTGCTATTTCTTACGTGAGACTTGGGGTCAATAATTCTGGCATATCCCCATGCATGGGAGTTCCTAAAGGAAATTTTCCAAGTTCTAGTTCTGTACCAGCCATATGGGTGAATATGGGTAGCTGGATCTCAGGAAGGACACCCAACGTAACGTCCTTCCAGAAGCCGACAAAAACAGCCCTTTGGGAACTGAATCTTCAAAGGGAAGAAGGTTTTTTTTAATAATGGTGCTGTACTATAATAAATGAACTGGAATAATTGTACTCCATTTCTTTTTCATGGATACGGTTTTAATTGCTTTGTGCTTTGATTATATTCTAGGGTTGGGATGCTTTTATTGAGGAGAGCTTTTTATCTTTCTCTGTTTCAATTTTGTCAGCTGCCTTGAGTCCTGGGGCCAGGGAGTGGGGTGGGAAACAAAAAATAAAATAAAAAAACAACAATTAGCAACATGCCCTTTTCTTTTCCAAGATGACAGATTCTCCCCAAATTATGAACCCACCTTCTGTTTGTGGTCTGAATTTCCTACCGTCCTCCCCTATCATCTGAAGACTGACTCACCGCATCAAACCTTATGGCATCTTTCCATCTTATTGTACTTCTAACATCACTCAATTAAGCTAACTAGTCTAGTACTGTTCAGGAGAAACTCTCTCTTCCTCAGTAGGACACATGCTTTTAACTTCTTAAGTATTCTGCTTCTAATTTTGCTGAATTAGATAATGAGACCACTTTGCCGTTTTAGGGTTCATGACACTTTGATTAATAAGGTAATATGCAATCTAAATGCTGGGTGAATGGACCGTGAAATCTTAAACTGCAGAAGTAACAATTTGTCTTAAAACATTAATCATGGAAGCTATGTAAGAGAT